GAGTGTCCCCACTGTCCCCTGCTCTCCCCAGGGCAGTTCTGAGTGTCCCCGTTGTCCCCTGCCTCTGTCCCAGGGCAGTTCTGAGTGTCCCCGTTCTCCCCTGTCCTGTCCCAGGGCAGTTCTGAGTGTCCCCGCTGTCCCCTGCTCTGTCCCAGGGCAGTTCTGAGTGTCCCCTCTGTCCCCTGCTCTCCCCAGGGCAGTTCTGAGTGTCCCCTCTGTCCCCTGCTCTGTCCCAGGGCAGTTCTGAGTGTCCCCGTTGTCCCCTGCTCTCCCCAGGGCAGTTCTGAGTGTCCCCGTTGTCCCCTGCTCTGCCCAGGGCAGTTCTGAGTGTCCCCTCTGTCCCCTGCTCTGCCCAGGGCAGTTCTGAGTGTCCCCTTTGTCCCCTGCTCTGCCCAGGGCAGTTCTGAGTGTCCCCGCTGTCCCTGCTCTGTCCCAGGGCAGTTCTGAGTGTCCCCGTTGTCCCTGTTCTGCCCAGGGCAGTTCTGAGTGTCCCCTTTGTCCCCTGCTCTCCCCAGGGCAGTTCTGAGTGTCCCCGCTGTCCCCTGCTCTCCCCAGGGCAGTTCTGAGTGTCCCCTTTGTCCCCCGCTCTGTCCTAGGGCAGTTCTGAGTGTCCCCTGCCACTGTCCCCGCTCTGCCCAGGGCAGTTCTGAGTGTCCCCTGCCACTGTCCCCGCTCTGCCCAGGGCAGTTCTGAGTGTCCCCGCTGTCCCCTGCTCTGCCGAGGGCAGTTCTGAGTGTCCCCTTTGTCCCCTGCTCTCCCCAGGGCTGTTCTGAGTGTCCCCTTTGTCCCCTCCTCTGCCCAGGGCAGTTCTGAGTGTCCCCTTTCTCCCCTGCTCTGTCCCAGCGCAGTTCTGAGTGTCCCCTTTGTCCCCTGCTCTCCCAGGGCAGTGTCCCTTCCCTCCCCCGGTGGCATACGCCGATCTCCAGCACCGGAACGAGTTCCTGGTGGGGACCTCTCTGACCTACTCGTGCAGACACGGCTTCACCCTGATCCCTGGGGTGTCCCCAACCATCACCTGCCTCCAGAACCTCACCTGGTCCCCGGTGTCGCAGCTCTGCCAGAGTGAGTACAATCGGCAAAGAATCGATTGAATGAAACCGTTCCAAATCCCTCTGCTCGTGCTGCAGGGCCAGCAGGGCTTTTTTTTTTTTT